GCCAAAAATGTCTGCCTGGAATGCCTAGAAATGACGGACCATTACTTGTGGATTATATTCGTCTCTAACATGAATTTTATGTCATGGTATATCCCCAACTTCAGTGAAGACACTCTGAATGTCCTCCACAGCAATAGTGTCACTTTGCTAATTAAAACTGTGTGCTTTATTAGATTGACAAAGATACACAACTAAAGAATTCAAAGATCATCAAGCAAAAAACTTCAAAATCCCAGGCAGCTGTATTAGGTGTGAATATTTAAGTGCTAGCTACTATCCAAACAGCTTGAATAAAGACTACTATCCTGATTTGACAGTGGGAAGGCAGAGGGGCTCAGTGCGTGACGGGCCACAAAGGCAGGTAACACCACAGGTGGAACCAGAGTCCAGGAAGGAATTTTGGATGCCTAGTGCTCTGCATAAAGATTTATTTCCACCAGTTACTATACCCCTAATACTACATCATTAATCACCTGACTTCTACCACCAATCCATAAAGACAATTCTCTTAGCTATTTTAAGATAAAAAAGCATCTGGAAGCCCTGTTTTTTCCAGTGAGAGAAATCTCTCGAGTTGTTTTGGGTGGGTTTTTTGCTTCTGATTGTAATATAAAAATCTAACGAGGGAAGAGTGCAACACACTGGAAACCTTATTTTGCCTTTTATTTCATGTAAAATTGGCTCTTGCACTTCATCTGAACCCCTAGTTTCAAGGGGCTGTGAATTACGACAACAGATTTTCGTCCCTAAAACAGTTTTTACTCTGTCAGTAAGGACAGACTTTTACTTTTGACCTAGGTGTTGTAGCATGTTGTTTCCTGAAGGCAGCTGAACAGAAAGAATACACCTATGAATCACGCTTGGGTGTTCTGCTTGTTTCACTGATGTGTTTCACTGTACGTACCACATGTGTACTGGTACTTCTCTACTTCTCTGTGCATTTGTTTGTCGCTTTACTAATGACCTAACATGTTAAAGAACACAGTAATAGTTTGGGATGAAATATACAATAAAAGTGCAAATAATTATTGTCTCTGTAATGCTGATAGTCTGTGTCATGGTGAGTAGAACTTTCCAGTATTGCATCAGCGTGATTACCCTGCCACTCCCCATCCACAATGGAGAATAATCCTCCCTCAGTGCCAGCACATACACAATGCACACATTCAGGCATCAACCGAGACAATTTTGAATAGTGATTTCCTCTCGATGTCTAAGAAAAAGATTTTCGACAACAATTGTAAGGGATGAGAGAAGATAAGGTGACAGACTGTAGAACAATATTAGGAGTGATGTAAGCTTCAAATTCATGATTCACAATCTTATCAGAATGATGGAAAGATTTATAATTGGTTATTGTTGCTGCCATTCATCATTTTCGTTTTACATACTGCTCTGCGTAGTGCATTTGTAACTATTCTGTGTACCACTCAGTACTGCAGTCTTATCTGTCACACTGATAATTTTTCTCTTAAGTAGTTTGTTACTAACTTCTCACTTCTTTGTCCTGTCTTTCATACTGGTCTCTAAGTTTCTTTTCTTTCCTGAAACTGATGTTTCAATGTGTTCCTTGTGTCGGTCTCTCCTCTTGTTCTCAGTGAAAAAAAAATATCTGCAAAGAGTGTTAAGCGTTTGTAGCACCATGTAAATTCTTTGTTTATTTTAGTAACAAATCCACTACATACTAGTTAAACAAAAAAGATGCAAGCATAAATTAAAATGTAGCTGAAATATAGTAAGCTTAATAATAGAATAATTAACAGATCATGTACTCTAAAGAGCATACACACAAGTAACAATTTGTCTTCCAGGGCAAATAAAGACTAGCTACCTTAACAGAGATACCAACTAGGATTTCAAATGCAAAATTTTGGATAATTCCAAAAGGCTGGTTTTTATCATATTTGAGGAAATAAAGATATACAAACGTGGGGGAAAAACTGCATAAATTTGTTACCATCATCATCCATCCAAACTGTTATATAGTTTTTAATTACTAACAGTAAGTATTTATCTAGGTGTTTACTAATGTTGGCAATCATACACTCAGTCGGGTATAAAACTGTCAAATTAAAACATATTCAACATATTTTTTTGACAGTGCAGGACAAGTGATCCCAAAAGGATATGATGGAGGAGCACTGAAAAGAACTAAAAAGATATTGCTTGTCTCATGACAGGATCATAAAAGCAATTTGTGCTAATGTGTTTTCTCTGTTATTGGCTTCATCCTTGTCTTTGTATGCTTTTTTGTAATAAAATTGTAAATCTTGTTGTACCTCTTTTTCATGTAAAAACCTCTAATCATCGATTTGTTTTACACTGGATAAAAAAGCACCAGTGGAGGAATAGGTAGGTGGTGAGAAAATCAGAAGCGGTTTTATATGTCACTCGAATGTTCACATGTTCTGGGTGTCCCCAGGACCACGACATAAATTAGACAGTCTTCACGTCTGCTCTGTTTCTGTGCAGTATCTCAAAGGCCCCAGAAGATGTTGCAGCAGCCAAGAGCAGCAGGAGCACCGCGATACTGCCCACACCTCTCTTCCATAGCTCCCAGCTGCTGGGGAGAGAACAGTTGCCAGGTCATTGGCAGCAGCAGACTCTTGGCTTTAAGGATATTTAGCTTAAATGACAAGTTATCTGAGCTTCCATCTGTACAAGGGAACATGGACATACAAGTGTTGCAAAAATAGCCTTTCCATTCACGGCGATAGTTATGATGTTTGCCCCACTGACGTGAAATAGCTGAGAATTACCTTTGCTCAGTGAAAGAAAAATGGGATCAAAATAATTCAGAAATGTTCTGAAACTAATCAAAGATCCAATCACTGGAAAACCCACGATGGTACACAGTATCAATTGCAGTGAATCTATCATCCCTTCGCAGAAGCAGCACGTGCACAGGCCCTTTCACCGTACTTTCCTTGAGGAATGGATGGCAATGCAAACAAAGGGAATAGCAGTCGTGTGCATCAGTCCAACCAGCAGCTTCTCTGCCAAGCAGAGGTATGGCAAGCACAAACCGTAGAAATTAAAAGACTCCTGGGATCATTGGACCTGCTCTGCTTAACTTTTACTTCAACATTTCCTGAAAATAGCTGGAAAAGAAAAGAAGAAAGAAACCCAAGGCTCCGTGTAGCCTGACAATCAATCCCTGGGCTGTGCCATCTTGTGAAGACTGGCATGCACTGATCTGTCTAGAACTTGCCAGCAGAGCTAATTCATGTCATAGCACATCAGGAGGAGGGAGAGTGGCATGAGGATCCACCGATGAAGGGAAACATTTTGGCTCCACAGCGCGCTGGCATGCTGAGTGAGAGGGACTGTCCCTCGGCAGGGGGCTCAGTGGGGAAAACGGGCATCTACCCACCGCAGCACACCAGGAACGCTGCAGGATGCCGCTGGTGACCCAAGTTACACCCGCAGGGCAAACGTAATTTCACATCAACACCCTTCATGAGATGCAAAGCATTAGGTTGGTGCACGATCTCCTGAGAGTGGGTGGGTGCCAGCATTGCCTCAGACCGTGTCAGGAGTGAAAGGCAGGATTCAAAGGGGTGTCAGAGGACGGTTTTTTGTCCGAGAGGGGTTTGTCATGGCACGGCAGCGTGCAGGTGGCGGGTAGGGCTGGCCCGGGATGGTGCTGGACTCATGCCCGTGACCAGACGCTGGCTGGACACAGCCACAGAGCTGCTCTCCTGTGGCCTACGTGCTGCTGCCAGCCCTGCTCGCAGCACCAGGCTGCTTGCTTGTTGCAGCACTGCCAGCGTGTGACATCACGCTTCAGTACGGCTCTCGCTGATTAAAGGGAAAACAAAGAAAAAACCTAAAAGGGATCCCCCCGGGGGCCTCCCTGGCCCTGAGGCGGAGGGAGCCGGGGTAGTCCCCGCGCTCCCAGACTGGGTTAGTAGCACAAGCATGGCGCCGCCGCGGCGCGGAGGTCAGCGAGGCCAAGCGCTGCCGAGCGCTGACGAAG